TAAGCCACCTTTGATGCGGTTAGGTACACCTTCTTAGTCGCTGGTTTTTCGAACGCTCGAAAACGAAAAGCATATTTTCAAAACGGAGAACGAGAGGAGTGCAAAGTGTTACACTTTTCTATATAGAAAATTATCTCGATCGAAAAACACTAGCTATGGTATCGTTTTACGACGAGTTTATCTCGAAAAGAGAGGCGAGACGGAATATGTAACGAGAATGTAGAAGGGATCTATTTTCTCCCTCCTTTCCTCTTCCTCGACTGGTTTTATCCTCCTTTTCCGCGAGTATATATATATATATATATATATATACATGGACCCTGTTACTCGACGTGTCTCCTTATCTGTGAAAGCTGCTTTATCATCTATTTACTTTTTATTATATTTACTTATTCATATGTGCGCGCTCGTGCACCGTGTAATATAATAAATAGAGAAGACGCTTCAACGAGAGGAATCGAAAAAAAAAAAAAAATAATGGAAATGTTGATTGATTGCGCGCGATAGTGGATCTTAAAGTTGGTCTCTCTCTCTCATCAAGGAAAACTATCATGAAAAATCATTATGAGCGAGAGTGTTTGTTACAACTGGGTGGGGATCCGCGAGTGGCGAACTTTTCTGGGAAATATAGACCGTACGAAAAACGCAAATTTCAAGAGAGCCTTGTTCGTGGGCGTTTAATGACCGCCGGTGCTCGTAAAATACTTGAGAATCTCATACGAAAATTACCGCCTGACCCCGATATTCCTTCTATCCCCTTCTTTTCCTCAGTGCTCTCTTTTCCTCCGACAGTCGCGTGCCGCGATTATTTGAGATATAAAGTCGACCCACTCTTATTTTCCAACGTGTTATTAGGCGCGGCCGCAGAAATCATTTAATAACTATGAAACCTGATAAAAAAAATCTACGCAATATATATATGTACTCCGCATTTAATTTTATGGCGAAAGCGATAAGCTCGCTTTTGATGAAGCGCGCGATTCATTCGTCGCTAATCATAGAAAATCCGCCTTTTCATTTAATACGTTCCAATTTTCTTAATATTGCCCTCGGCTATTTTCCAATACATGTTAAAATGTATAATTCGATGGATGAATCAACTCTTCGAGACGAGAACGATCGATTTTCTCCGCTCGAGATTCGCGAGTGCATTTTATTAAGGAGTCGCCGCGAATTAAGACTCCCCTCACGTACGCCGACCGACCAAATAAGGAGACAAGTCTTAAACGAGACGAGTTGTCCCACAAACTACGCGGATATACCCAGGGAATACACGGTAGAGGACTTGGAACTCAACTATTAATTAATCATTTCTCAAAATTTGGCAAAAAGATAAAACGTGATCTCGCGAAAATTAAATTATATTTCGGTTTTTAATTAAAATAATCGGACACTGAAAAATATCGAAAATATGTAAGCATTCCAATGTAATGATGTACACCAATTAGGAAACGACGTTCGTTTTTCTTCCCCTTCGGCCATTAGATTGTAGACTCGAACGCTATCATCTCTCTCAAACAGCATCTCTCAACGTAATTGTGTAAAATTTATACGTAACCGAAATTCAGGAACAATGCGGTTTGCCAAGGTAAATAGAATCCGTCTCGATTTACTCGCTATATACGGGAGTAAGTTTGACCATCGAGAGAGTTGCCGTGAGTGAAATGAATAGGCGTCCGGCGAAGTTGTGCATTAATCGACGCCTGTTTCTACGAGAGACTACTCCCTACTACGAAGTAATTAATGAGTATATATATATATATATATATATATATATATATATATATATATGTGTGTACGTATACGAAATGCGGATGCGTCATCGATGGAATTCGAGGAAAATTCGATGCTCGATTGCCAGCAATTTCCGGAGAAATTGTTTCGCTTCCGCGCGCGTGTTACCTTATATTAATCGAACTTAATTTCTTCCGCCCGATGAAGTCGACACGACGTTGTGACATCGATTGTCCCAGACTCTGCCTATCAATTATCGACTCTACACACGTCGAGGAAAGACGTGTACAGAGCGACGCTTATACATCAACGTATACAGAGGACCAACACCGTCCTATCGAAAGACATGCCCTCGTTCTCCTCACGTGTCACACGTATAGTGTGTGTGTGTGTGTATTTGTGCATATGTGTAGTACGTTGGACCGACCAATGGACACACGACCGACGAACGCGTCGCCGTAAAAGGCCATTAATGTCCATCGCTTGTGGATCCTCATAGCTCGTGTACGTATATCGGCGTTTCTCTCGGCGAGAAAAGCGATCGTACGTAGTAATCTTCTTTTTTTCAACCTCAATACCGCGATATTCGGTCTCCCCCGAACGATATAATGCGCAAATTACTGTCGCATGAGATTCGATTTATCGCATATCGTCGACTAATCGCAATGTTGGGCGAGAGATTATCGCGTCGTTCCGAGCGCGAGCATTCATCATTCTTGATCGAGTCTTTATTTATTACCACGTCTGCTATTTGTACGTCCGTCGTCTGATAATAAGGGGCATTCTTAGGCGTCCATTAATATTTCTTAGTCCACGAATCTTATCTGTCCGCAGAGATAATTTTTTCTTAGGGAGAACTTTAGAAGAGTTTCTCTGTGAGGAAATATTTACCACAATACAAAATATTAATATGAATACATAGTAAAATTCAATCAATCATATTTTACATTTTATTGGTAGATATTAATATTTTTATTGCGGTGTAAATATGTATTATAATCAGAGAAACTTTTATAAAATTCTTTCGATATATCATAATTGTCCCACAATGACCATATAATTTTCGGAGTATAAATTCGAAGAAAAATTCTCTTCGCGCGATACACGTACGATGATTTTTGCAATTCAACAATTTGCAAGAGCAAAACAAAATATTTTTCCGTTATACAATAAAGAAAATATCACGGAGGAAAAATATTATTTTTTCGAAATACGGTGCATAGCCTCGATGTTCACCAGAAATATCGCGTCGAGTGCATCCGCACTTGGAGAGGAGTTCTTTCTTAACTGTATAATGCGCTAAAAGATATTAGAGAATATTCAAAAGCTCCTCTTATATGGTTAAGCGGCCAGGCGATTTGCGTGCATTTTCCGCGCGAAGACAGCGAGATTATTACCGGCGATATTTCATCGGGCCGCTATTTCACCAGGCAGCCGGCTTTCTAACTCTCTCTCTCTCTCTCTCTCTTTTCTCTCCCTCTCTCTTCCGTGCATTGCTTGCATTAAAGGTCGCGCAATTGTAAAATGTAACTACGTGTAAGCGCGCGGTATATATGAGATTTATGCCCGTCGGCTTGGCGCCGCCTCCTCTCCGAAATTTATTTCCCCTTCACGTACGCGCGTTTCTTTCTCGCCGAGAGAATTTCTAGAGAGAGAAAGAACAAAGTTTCGGAAAGCGTCCTTTACCGAAGAGATTATCATTGGGACACTCAAACATTTTTTGAATAGTTTTAATAATAGTCATTGTAAGCAGAGTTTTTTCTTCCCTCGACGAGAATCCTCGCGGACGACTCTTCTGTCAAAGTACACACAGCCGCCTGTCAAGTACCGGTATGCACGCGGCATAACACGAATTATTGTTGCGCAAACTCTGCCGTGGCAAAGTATGACGCTGCGAGTGAGGCTTAAACTCAAGATACGTTACATTCCAGCGAAGTAACCCTAAGGCTGTTTTTCGATAGCGGAGAGACGTAGTGGATGATGCGCTTCACGATCGACCGCGCTTCACGTCGGTCCAGGTTCACGAATCTCTGACGCGCGCGCGGCTTTTATTATATTTTTTCTCCTCTATTTTTTTTTGCAGGCGAGATCCTTTTTTTCAAGCATCGTAACGTAACAATTAAAAAAAAAAAAAAAAAAAAAAAAAAAAAAAGGGTCGAATATCTTCGTCCAATCAATACCGCGTGCGCCTTTATAGATTGTTATCCTGGCTATTAGTCAACGTATCGTAAAAACCGACGTTACAAAACGCGTACAAATATTTTGTTCGCGTATTTGCCCCGCCGTCAAAACTACACAGCCATTATTAGAACACAGCCATTATTCGATGTAACGTAAAAAGCGCACGCTTTTTACGACAGACAATTTTTATTCACTCTGTCTCTCGCTCCCTTTCCGTCTATCGATGATATAAAAAGATATAAACAATGAAAAAAAAAATGTATAACATGCTGATATCTCTGTCTCGGCTTACACTCGAGGGCCCGTTCATTTATTTAAAATTTACTTCCTCTCATTAGCCAATTAAGAAGATTGCGCGTTGCGAACTTGCTCCGATTCTTTCCAAAGTTTCTATTAACTAAAGACTAACAACGGAACCCCGTTACAGCCCGTTATCGGGGATAAACTCGATCTTTAGCGCAACTCCCTCCAGCGTGAACGTCTACTTATTACGCAAACAAAAGTTCAGGGTGAGAGAGAGAGAAGAGAGAAAGAGAACGCGTCACCTCCCGTTCCGGCGCATTCATTGACATACGTCGCTCCGAAATAGCGTTTTGCTTTCGCCCCAAAAGACGAGCACGAATATCTATTTAAATATCTATCTCTCTTTGGCCGGAGAAAGAGAGAAAGAGATACAAATTTCTCTTCGTAATATATACGATTATTACTCCGATTTGACGCGAGAATAAACGGAGCGAATATGTTTCATACGTTGAAAAAACTTGACAAACTTGCTCGTTTGCGTCTGAAAATAAGAAAAAAATGGAAATTGAAAAATACGAGACGCGGCTTACTTCGATTTGAACACCACTGGCGAGACGCCGAGAGTGCAAGAGAGTACTTGAATCGGCGTGATACTTTACTTTGAGGAGAGAAAGGTAGCACGGATTTGTTTCGCATAAATGTTCGCGCTTCCTGCCGTATATCGACGACGACTTCCGGTCTACGGCCGCACGATCTTTCGAGGATCTCTCTCTCTCTCTCTCTCTCTCTCTTATTGCTGATATCGCGTATATAGCTGTATGTACATGTATAGCCTTACTCACCTCGGTAGCGGCGTTGCATCCCGCGAGGATTACCACGGCCGTGCTAACCAGAATCCAGTGTATCCTTAGTCGCATTTTTATCCCGTTGAATCTCGATGGGCTCCGCTCGCGGTGCCCGCTTTATGCACGCGCACGAATTTCCGGGGACGAGCGGCCGCGAAGAATCCGCGTAATGTAGCGCGCAGCGAACGTAGGAACAAATCACTAAAAAAAATCCCCCGGAACAACAACGCGACACACACCACACTGATCGATGAACCGCGAGACACTGGCGGCGCGACGATCGCCCGCTATCGTCGACTAGACGGCCGCGACGCGACTGGCCGCCATCTTACCGCGCCGCCCCCGCGGTCAGCGCCATCTAGCGGGGTCGAGAGGAATCACATCGAGATCTCGCCGGCGTCGATCAATTCGAGCTCTTGGCGCCAATTTCAATTTTCGCGGATCGCAATTTTCGACATTTGGGAAATAATTTAAATAATTTCATCAATTCAATCACTCTGTCGGAGTAACTGATTCATTTCATTATTAATTAACTTATTTAGAGTAATTAATAAGAAAATTTGTAATACGATATATAATTATATAATAGAAGCAATTTTAAAATGACACGATATGGAAACGTTAATTCTTCTTGTCGCCGGATAAATCTTTCTCTAGGTCCTTTAAAAATCTTAGATTCTCGTTTATGCCGCGATTATATTCTTCGATTTTATTCCGCATAACTTGCACCTCTCTCTGCATATGTTTTACTTCGTCCTGAGTCTTTTCCTTGACGACTTTTAATAATTGTTTATTCTAAATATTTGTAACGCGTTGCGTGTATTATTGCTGTAATGTTTGAAGTCGTGAAGTAACGTTTTGCAATGATACCTGTTTATAATAATATTCCGTCTCATATGCAACATCGCCGAATGATGTTTGATCATTTTTTGTGTGCGAATCATGCTTCTTTCTTCTATTAATATATCTAAAACTGAAAGAGCTTGCACATTTATACTGAAAGAAAAATAACATAACCAAAAGCGTTTAAGATATTATATCTCCACAATGTTTTAGAACTGTCTAAATACCTGAGTATATATTCATGCACGTCTCTGAAAACATGTCGAAACATTGTGCAATTACTAAATAAAAATTTATTATGCGATATAGATATTTAATTTTTTTGATTTACTATAATTAAATATAAAACATTATTTTTGAAAGATTATATAAGACTGTATATAAAACAAATTCGCATCCGAGATTTAAAATAATTTAATTTTGATTGAAACGAGGTTAAGCAACAATGAAAAACACGTTTTATTCTCAAGTATATAGCTGTCTTTTAGACATTTCAAATACAAAGGTCTCTTATATGAGATAGTTTTCCCCAAAAAGTAACCAATCTATATAATATTCAATATGAATCCATGCTTAAATAATATATGTTAAGTAACAGCATTGCATTTAATATCTATTTAACATTTTATACATAAAAAAAAAAAATTGCTGCGATATTCTTATTATTTTCACCCTTTTTACATTGAAATTAATAGTATCGCCAAACTCAGAAATATCACACTAATAGAACTTCTTCACACATTCACTCTTTGGTTTCCATATCTGTAATTCGCTTTTTGTGACGATTTATAGCTTCCTGATGACGCTTAATCTGTTCCTCGTGGAAAGAGATTTCATCGTGCAGGCTCTCTCTCATCTTTGCCAATTGCTCCTTTTGCTGAAATAAAATTGTTCCACTTATGTAATAAGCAAATCATATTGTTAATGCAAAGATTTGATAGAAGAGAATAATACCTGATTATAAAAGTATTGATCTTCATTGGCAGCTTCCATCTTTCCAAAAGAACCACCAGCTTCACGGATGGTGCCACCACCACCACCTCCTTTTCCAACACCGGAACCACGTTCTCCAGACATTCTTACCTGACTACAATACAATATACTTAAATTATAACGAGATACTTAAAAAATGCAAAAACTTAAAGATAAAATAGGATATTATTTCGAGAAGGTTATGTCCATTACTATCTACTAAAGCATTACATAATGTTGACATAGCATTCATTCGGGTCAAGTGTTATAAGTCTATAATACATTAAAAAGCTACAATCTGGCTATTTACATTTAGCCAAAAAAAAGAGTATTTTCATATTCGTAAACAAAAGATTTATACAAGTGTGAATAAAAAACCGAGATTGACTACATATACAATGGGAAAACACCGGGTAAGAAGGTATGAATAAGAGGTGAATATTTGGAATAAATTCATGTGTTCCCGAAGCAGTGTCCGATACCTTAACGCAGAAATATTCCGCGAAAACGTCGTAATTGCTCGTTGCATTTTTTCACGAAATACTTGATATCAGCTAGACGTTAGTAAGAACTTGGCAGACCGACAAGGACTTGTAGCGGTCTCTCGTCATAAACGAAACGTTTATTCTTAGAACGTGAACCTCAGTCGCGCTTAGTGACGATGCTGGCGCCGCGAATATCGCGGACTACCGCAACTTCAAAACGCAGAGCCTTTCTTTTTGAATATATTAGGGCCGATTTTTCTTGATAAGTTTTACTCAACAGAGGTAGCATATCTTCGTCTCTTTCAGATAAATTATAAAAGAAGAGACGAAGAAATGCTACCTGTCAGGTAAAACTTACCAAGAAGTTGGAACAACCGGTCCTATAACTTGATTTTTTCAATTTCTTGCCAAGTTTTATCCGACAGGTAGCATATTTTCGTCTCTTTTCAGATAAGTTCTAAAAGAAGACACGAAGATATACCTGAAGATAAAACTTACCAAGAAGTTGGAACAATCATTTAGTCATTATAATTTCAAATTACAATTAATACACTTATGAATGTAACCAAATGAGAATGACTCGACCTATAGTATTCGGCAGCCTGATCTTCCATCAATTGCTTCTTGATCTCCGAGGTTTTCAATTCGTTAATGGCCGTCTGTTTTTGCAACTCCGCGCGTTCCAGCTCGATGTGCAACATCCGCAATTTGATCTCGTGCTCGCGTTGCGTAGACTTGAAAATCCACATGGCTCGCTGCACCGATTTGTCCTTGTCGGACGAGATCGAGTCGTTCCAACCTAGGGAAGCGGAGGATAACTCGTTCCTCGCGTCGTTGCGTTCGGTCGCTTGAAAGAAAAATATATATACGTCTCTACTCGTTTGCTGCATTTTATTGCGCATAGAATTTCATGAAAAAAAAGAAACACCGTGTACCATCGTCGATGATACGAGATGTCGATACGCTGTCGGGACAGGCGGTTTTTTGCTCGACGAGATCCACGGGCTCGTCCTCCGTCATCGCGATCCTGGAACGCTTCCGCGGCAGAAAGCTGTCATCCGATGACAGTTTTCGCGCGAGCTCGCCGCGACTGCTTTCGTCCTCCGTGTCGCTGTTGACCTCGATCTTAATCTCGTGTCCCGGTCCTAAATAATCGTCTGGATAATTTTGACAATTTCGAAAGTAGCGAAAACCGCGCGTCCGAATAATAAAGCCCAACCTGACGTTTCCGGAGCGGGTAACGTCAATTTATCCAGGATAGCATGTATCGCCGTTCGATTTGTCGAATTTTCATTGTCCTGACTACTATCGTCCGAACGATCGGCCTCGCAATCGTTCCTACGAACGCTCTCCATCAGTCGCCATACCTCGATCGATAGATTCGACGGATGGGACTTGGCGGCCGCTTCCGGTCCCAAAGTTCGCACCTGCGCGAACGACACATCGATAGATTATAAGAAAGTCCAGACGGCACCAGGTCAAAATTGGCGCATAAGACATCTTTAAGAAATCTGTAAGACATATCCTGAAGAGCTCTTATATATGATGTGATATCCACAAAAGACATGTATATATATCTTAAAGATGTCTTATATGCGCCAATTTTGAACATGATGCCGTCTGGGAGGGAAACGAGGGAGAAAAGAAAAAAGATATAAACGCCGCACCTTTTCGGCGTACGTGTACATCTCCATTCTCGCTTGCGCCTTCATCCGTCGCCATTGCTCTCTGATCCTGGTGATGTCCCGGTCCGCCGAGAATCTGCCGCGGAATGCGCAATAGATCTGTTGCCAGGCGAGGGACTTCATCGCGGACGCGGCCGCGTCGATCTTCTTGTTCTCGATCGCGTTCACGTGGTGCTTGATCAGAGTAAACAGGGCGCTTTTCTCCTCCGGGATCCAGTTCTGCGTCCTCTCCCTCTTCTTCAGCAGCACCGTGGTCGCTTCCGCGGACATCCTCCTTTAACTTTCTAACGGAGCGCCGTCAGCGGCGGCTCTGCGCTCAAAGGAAGCACCGACTTTCGTCTAATTTGAAGTTAAGCCACGCCAATTATATTCACGTGTACAAACGACGTCTCCTACACGCGCATTGATCTGCCGCTGTTTCGCGGCCTCGTTTGCTTGTTTAAGCGCGGTTTTAGAACAGTCAGCTGTTTAGTTGCTACCGACGTCGTCTGATGTGTCTACCGAGTGTCTACCGCGAAAATCTACTTGGAATTATATATTTGTACATGATCTCTTTACACACTTCAATTTTACTTTTTATCGATACGTATACCGTATGCTTTTAACAAACAAATCAAAACAAATGCGAATTTTCATTTCAGATTAATATACGCGTCTGCAATTATAAAATTTTTCATTTATAACATGTTTATAAAACACTATTATACTTGAGCTTTTTATATAATATGTTTTCTTAAATAATATTAAATTAAATTTGTATCATGAATTGCGGAACGCAAAATGCGTAGGATGTGAAACACGAGGGTTCAAAGCCAAGTGAGAAGAGGAAAAGATAGCTCGATAGTGTAAACAACCGAGAGATAAGCAAGCGACTTAAATCCGAACTAAGGGACGACTAAACGTCGGCCATTTTGGCACAGTACTAGCTAGAACGCGCTCGATATTAACAAATCTCGGTTCGCGACGGGAGAAGAGAGGAGAGAGGACGAGAGATGAGGATGAGAGGAGAGTGGGATATCCGACGTTCCGCGCAACGCAAACATTGTTTCGTTTCATTTCGCGACCCGTCGCGGAATCATATTGCGCCGATTCCAATATTTCCATCGTTTTATTGCGATTCTGGCGGAATCTACCCTCTCTCCTCTCGTGGAATACTGTCGCATATCATCTTTTTCTCTTCGTTTCCTGCCCCTACGAATACTTGGACAATCAATCCTAATAGACTAATAGGTTGTCATCTTAGCGCTATTGTGATGAAAGAAGTTTTTGGGCAAACTTATACTATATATAAGCAAAAAATACTATATATATATAAGCAAAAAATATACAAAGATACGTGGACAATCTTCGCGTACACATACACACATTAAATTTTTCTGTAACTCCTCTCTTTTCTTCTCGTTCACTACTTTCTACTATCAATCAAGTTCGGGAAATTCACAAATCACATTTGAAGATCAATAGCATTATTTTCCTTTCCATAAATCTGTCGCGAAAACTAACAGAAACGCACCACTTTGCTCCGAGCAAACGTAATCACACTGTTTACAATCTCTCTTATTCTTGTTCTTTATACGTTCTTGAGTTTTATGATCGGTTTACGTAACGCATCGGATAAGTTAGTTGCATGCGCGAAAATTAAACGTCCGCGAAAAGGGAAGTTTCCAACTCCTCGAGTAAAACAAGAAATGCTGACAGCGTAAATTATGGATACAAGACTACAAGGTGACAGCAAACGGCAAAATGCTTGTCGTAATTTTAAGTTTATCGCAAAAGATTATTAAATAATCGGTTTGTTTCGAAAAATTTTCAAGGCTTATTCATACTTTTGTGAAGAGTCGTTTCGCGATTGCCTATTGCCGACTAAATAATCGATCTCGACGCTCTTCTTCTTTTGGTGCCAAAATATCCAGCAACATTCATCAAAAGTGTCAGAAGCAGCAATCCAGTCATATCCCACCAAAAGTTTCCTTCCTTGTAGCCGTACTCTGATAAAACTTCCGTTCCATTCGCTAAACAAGGCAGATCGCGATTGACTGGACAGTCTAAAAAAATCAAAATGTTAATAAATTATTTTTTATCAATATAATCAACTATAATCTAATAATCAATATAAGTTATAAGTTAAAAGGCCAACTTAACGAGCTGATTAATTAGGTGTTAACAATTTATTCTAAGTCATGAAAATAATACAAATGATAATTAGTAAACGTTTCGACTGTACGACAGTCTTTATCAATACAAATCTCGCTTTGCTAACATATTCATAATCAAATAATTTCGAAAGACAGAACTTATATCATACATGTAAAATATATGGTAGACTTATAATATGAAAAACGCAGTATAACACATTATAATTGTTGGCTTGAATTACGGCCGATATCAGATTTCTGTAGTTCTTTTTAAATAAACGTCTAATTTTCTAATCCATAATGTAATAATGATATGTAATGAGATCTATGTTGAGACGATAAAAATTCTTTAAAATATTTCTTGTTGAAAAACATTATAAACAATGTATACTTTGTAAGAAGCAAACTCAATATATTAAATTGTTAACACCTAATTAATCAGCTCGTTAAGTTGGCCTTTTAATTTATAACTTATTTTAATTTTACACGAGCCGAATTTTATTTCTCATTATATATATCTAATAATCAATAATTGAATGATATTAACCGATGTCCTTTATTTCCGACCAGTGTATAATCGATATAGCTTCGGTAGCGTAATAAAATATCGACGTATATTTAAAGTACGCTAGATAGCTCGGCAGAGTTCTATGACAGTAAAAAAACATTTGACGTATATTCATCAAATTCATTATATAATATGTAAACAATAATAGGTATAGATGTAACATGTAACTTACCGAAGATTGTAAAACATACCCGCCGTCAAAAGGAGCAGCAAATCGAACGGTACCATTATCGCGGTAACAATATCGATGTTGGCGATCCAACTGGAAGTCATTATACCATATGCAGTACCGCAAATTGCTGTCACTGCCGTACAAAGACAATATAAGCACAAGTCAGTAGCCGAAATTCGGAATTCAGCAGGAAATATATCACGACCGTGAACAAAAGTGCTTTGAATACTGCCTTGAGGATCTGAGGAATTTTATATCATCATTATATCATAAATAAATGAAGAAATAAAAATATAATTATATTAAACATGTCGTTTTTTACGGTGTATTAAATAATTACTGAGCCGAGAATAATGGCAATGTAATAAGGTCCTGGTGCATATACGGTACTTTCGCGAAGATAAAGAACAAGTTCGCCGGGTAATTCGTAAATGACGGAATAGGCGACCGTGAATATAATTTCGGATATCATCAAATATAATACACCTCGAACACTCTGTATTCCCTCTTGCGTCAATGAATTAGCATCAATGTAAAAAATACTGACAAACAAAACGGATAGCTGTAAGATAATTTATAATTTTATTTGACACTAAAATTTATGTCTCTGAAAATATCAAGATTTTCTTATTTTTATTCATTTTATTACCGAGAAAGAAAACACGCGATCCAATTGTCGAAAAATGTCCTTTTATCTTGCAAAAGTTTTCTCCAGAGCAACCAATAAAATTGTACAAACCATCCTGATTTTCTATAATAAAGATATATATAATCAATTAAATATTAAAGATTTATATTAAAAATTTTTTTCTTCAAAAAGAAATTCTATCATTATTTCTTTGTAAATTCTTAACATTATTTGTTTCATTTTACTTTTGTGGAACGACGCGAAAAATTGCTCTCCCATTCTCGATCGCAGGAATTTTTGACAGCGGCGATTGCGAGAATGCTTGGCATAGTTCAATACTGCGATCAGTTGTCCAGTTTCGGCGTGATAGAATGTTTACGTAATATTCGGACTCGTCGTAATTTACAGGACAGTGATAATTCTGGCTATACAAACACATCGGTTGTTTCGTCATTATTCACTCGCTGCGATTTAATAATCGAAATATCAGAGATTTACCTTTTGAAAAAACTGTAGCATTTTCCAAAGTCCCGAAGTATATCGATCTTCCATCAGCCATTAATAACACGTGACTGAACATGTTGTATATCATCATACCCGGTTGATGAATCGTACAGAAAATCATTGTACCTCTCGAAGCAATCAGCTTCAACGATTGCATGACACAAGTCGCGGCAAATGTATCCAGACCTACATCCGGACATTTAATTACACGATGTAATCAGATTTATTTCCCATATAAAGTGGGATAATGACTTTCAACACTCTCACCTGTGGTTGGCTCGTCTAGGAAAAATATTTTAGGCTTTGTCACTAATTCCGTGGCTAACGATAAACGCTTCTTCTCACCGCCCGATAGCTCCGATATAAGAGTATCGATACACTCGCATAATCCAATATCTCGCAACAGTTCTTCGGCCAAGGATTTCCTTTGCAACGTGCTACAACTATTTCCTATTTTCAGAACACACTAAAGAGAAATAATTTCAACATCAACATTACAATCTTTCTCTCTCTGAAAAAAATTCGTATTTAAAAATTTAAGTTTGCTCCAAAACTCAAGGCAAGAGAAATAAAAATAAAATCGTTTATTAAAAATATCTTTTTCAATACCACGAACGACATATACTCTCTAGGTGTAAGTGCAGACGGCAGAGCTTCAAACTGCGGCATATAACTCGATATTTCTGCCATAGTTTCTTTGGGAACGTCGTGTCCATTGATCTTCACTGTGCCCGAAGTTAATTTAAGCCTTCTCGCCAGAGCAGCAAGAAAAGTCGTTTTGCCGGCGCCGCTAAAGAAATAAGTCTGCCCTTGACGTGAATTTATCGTAAAATTATCACAACTAGATATATGCTAGTATTTTGCGTACCTCGGTCCTAATATAGCAAACATGTTACCGGTTTCTGCGTATCCGGATACTAAAAGGAATATATATATATTCAAATAAATATTAGTTTTCGATCAATAATTGAAAGATACGATATTTTACATTAAAATCTAGATACGAAGTTTCTTGCTGCATTTTAATATTAATAAAATAACTTTACCTCCTTTCAGTATAGTCAATATTTTCTTGTCTTTTTTACGCAAGAACTTGCACCACACTTTTCCCGAACATTCATCATCATCTTCAACAGGCACAGTAACGGTTAAATTTTCCCAGAACAGTTGGGAAATCATCTCACTGTCAATTGAATCTACTAATTGTATCATTATAACTATTCACCTCACGTCCTCTAGAAAGCTTCTCTGATTAATATTGCCGGAGCGTCTTGAAATTGAAAGAAAATTCTGTTATCTCCATCTCCCTTCTGAATGTTTATCATCGTTATCTAAAGTCATACAGACATTTATGAGAGAAAAGATCAATATAACTTACTAGAGGTTATTAATTTTGAGGCGTATAGATATTTATCTTCGTCATACGACTTTAAATAAATATTGTGGAAGAAGGGAAGTTAGATGATAAGAAAAGATAGGATGTTGTAATAGAGAGAATAAAGAGAAAAAGAGAACCAACTACATTACGCGCATTTTTTAGTATAACAAATTTAATACAGTTAAATATTATGTTTTACCTATATTGCGTATCTATATAAAAGAGCTTAAAGTAGGCAAAAATAGTAATATTACAATATTAATAGCGAGTTATATTATACGTATATAATTTTTTCGCAAATATAACGTATAATATAAGTATAATATAATATCTACAATTTTCTCTGCAATAACATATACGATACGCGCCGATATAAATCGTGCTATATAAAAGTGCAAATATGCAAACATTGTTCGAAAGGTGAAAAAGATCATTAATGTAAAATCTGAATTATTTACAATAATATTGTATATACGTACATAGGCAGCTCTCGACTCACGTCGATTATTCGTTAATTATACTTATCACTTTCGTACGTAAATCTCTATCAAGAATATTACACATATCTGCATTTCCTCTCGTGTCTTGAAATTGAGAAATGAGATATCGATCATTAAAGATTCTCATGCAAGTTTTATTTGCCGCAGTTTTCTTTTCACCTTGAATTTCAATACAGATAATTGCGACGCTATTCGGCAAATTTGCTTAAACGCATTGTGTATTGTGTAAAATGGTCAGTGAACGCGACATAACGGCACTAATTGCAATCAGCTATCTCGAGCAATTAGCTATAACTGTGCGAGAATGAAGGCACAACATTGTCGACAAATCAATTTAAACTCAATGAGATAAACAACGAAATGTATGATCGATGGAAGTATACAAATAAGAAGCGTATTATTACCAAAATCTAAACGAGAAAATAGTAAAAAATACGTATATCATATATTATTTTAACAAATTCACGTAATGATCGTATCGATTGTATTAACTGAAGTAACAGTATACTATGCTTTTCATTACAATACGGAAAATTTTTTAAATTCTTGCTACTAATGATGCTAATGAAAGCGATCCTATAAATAGTAGTCATTGGTTTGATTTTGGGCGGAATGTAAGCATTGTTATATATAAATCTACTCATAAATATAGGTCAATTCTTGAATGTGCATATGTATGTATACGTAAATTGCAATTAAATTAAATATCGCATAAGAAAGTTTAAATGCCTTAAAAAAGTGAAACCTTGTCTCATTTGTACGACAAATGTTTCGAGACTTTAATTGGAAATATGATGCTATATATTATTCAAAATGGAAAATGTATAAACATGCGTGTATATATAAGGTATATCGCGATAATTGCAGGCTGAATCGATAAAACACAATTTCACGATTGTCATTGATCTATAATTCCGATAGCATGTCAATTTATTAAAGAAGAATATATTCGAATAATAGCTACCAAAGTCATTATGTCATCATTACGAAGTTCAAGTATTGCTTATGTGTATATATGGTATATATGGAAAATTAAAAACTTTATTTATATATAATTATTGACTTTCTTATATATATTATACGTATATATATAATTATATATATATATATAAGTATGTATATATATGTATATATTAATTATATATATTAATATAGTATTATATATATTAATATAGTAATTATATATATAATTATATATTTATTAAATTATCGCTTCCTTTATTATGTGCTCTGTACATCTATAAAGCTACTTAAAATATCGCTCGCACAAAAATATTAAACGAGTCAAATTAGCAAGTTCAAATAATTTTCGAGAGCGACATTATCGGACAATTTCTCGCTCGTGAGCGAGAATCCGACAAGCAGATACTTATGAAGAATGGCAATGCGTAAAACGTTACGATAGTCACGGCATTTATAAAGACACGTTGAGGTTGACGAGTGGAAGAATCGCGAGATTTCGAATTTGAACTCGACAATTTACCTATTTGTCAGCAGCCGCAGGATTTTTTGGAGCTTGTCGGCGATTGGCTCAACGCGAATCGTTCGCCATCCGGTGGGCCTTGAGAGCCATTGCCTCTCATAACTTGATCGTTCTGAAGTATCTAAAGTAAACAAATTTTACAATCACACCTTTTTATAAGATAGATATAATGAAACGATAGGGAGCAAGATATCTCAAGTGACAACAGCATTTGATCGCGAATGAAATATACAAATGTACAGAGAGATGCTAATTGGTCTCACGTTGATTAATTAAATATACATCATAAGTCGATCGTCTTTAATGCGAAAGACGTCAATGATTAATCCGTCGTGCGTCACATAGGGCAAAAACGTAAGCAATGTTACATACAAATATATACTTTTACTATTATATCAACTTGATTTTCGACTTTGAAACGATTTATTAAATAATAAATGATATTCATAATCGCATATTTACTTTTAATAGATCTTTTTCTAGATTTCTTGCGCGTTTTAAGATACGCTACTTACTTTGTTGACGAGAAATCTGGCTGCTTCCTCGATGTTGACGTTCTCTTTCGCGGAGGTTTCAAACCAACCGGAAAAGTTCTTCTCTTTACAGTATTCGTCCATTTTAGCGGGCGAGTTAACCAGACCTTCCTTCTGCTGGTCGCATTTATTTGCCAGCAAAACACACGGAATCGACGATCCGTCAGGAAGTTGCACCTTTGAATCCAGGTCCTGTTTCCATTTCACCACCGCGTCCAACGTCGCGCTTCTCGTCACGTCGAACACTATGAAAGCACCTACGGCTTCCTTGTAGTAAACTCTGGTCATATTTCCGAATCTTTCTTGACCTGGCGTGACAAACAAAGTAATTGCACACGTTACAAATTAGTTCAAATATACAAATTATATCAAATAATAATAATTGACGTTATGCGTATGTTAGATGCGATAATAATTTAAGTGAGTATGATTGAAGTTATCAATTATACAAGCTCAAAGAAAAGTGTCCAAGATATCTAAAGCATTGAATGAATATCAGAAAACAAGAAATATTGAAAGCATATGACGCACATAGAATATTAAAATGTTAATTTATCTGTTAGACACGAGTGTATTATGTTTCATTATATTGTTTCCGCTATAAAAAGAAGCGTTGTAAGTTATTACTGACCTGCGATATCCCATAATTGCAGTCTAATGATGGTGTGTGGATCCCAATTTAGCACTTTGAGTGCAAAGTCGACGCCAATCGTTGCGCGATAATGTTGAGAAAAGAATTGGTGGACGTATCTCTTGATGATGGATGTTTTTCCCGCTCCGAGCTCGCCGATTACTAGTATTTTGTACAAGTGCTCCCGTTTCTCGTCTACTCCCAGATTCGATGTATTATTATTCGCCGACGACTGAAACAAAACAAAATAAAATAAATATAAGCTCGCGCAACAATTACAAAAATATTTCTTTCTAAAAATCTCGAGATACACATCGCTTTCGATTTCCCCATTTTTGCTCCATTTATTTGACGGATAGCAGTAGATTTTAAATGTAAAAGCTGCTGTTATCTAAGTTTTAAATTTTATTAAAACGATATTATAAAAACGATAATTTTATAAGCGCAAATACTTGAGATTCACGAGTTTTCAGCCACTTCCATTCTTTCGGTTGTACTTTCCACTTGCCAAGATCGAACGTCTCTAAATTTCGCCAAATTTTTAATTCCACGTCCATATTTACGCGCGACTTTCTGACGCCAGAAATTGTGACGCTGAGAGAGATGAAAATAATTAAACGCTCTTACGCTCTTCGTGAATCTTACTGATATAACTCATACGAGCAAAATGGACTGAATCATTCACGTATAGAAAGATAATCTCCAAGTGCGGACCACATATGGAGGGGACGCAAGAGAACTATAAATACAACAATAAGTATTCTGCATCTAATAATTGCATCTGCATAATCAATCGAAAAGTTGCTCTGTTGCAATTTTTATTTTGCTAATGATGACAATTTTTCGAAAAATAAATTTGATCATTTTTATATTTGTACACTAAAAAAAATTTATTGAATTCAAATAAGTATATTTATTTTATACTGCCCAATGAATTATTTATTTGAAGCTAATAATATTAATTTCATATGAAAAATATTTATTTGATATAAGGAAATCTTTTTCAAATAAAATATTTATTTATTTCAAATAAATGATTCATTTGGGAGTATTCAAATAAATATTTATTAATTTAGTAATTTTTTTCAGTGTAATAATTTTCCTTGATTTATGCGTCAATATACAATTTTTTCTATTATTCATATTTTTAAATTTAAGCGCAGTTTGTTTTTAATTTAATTACAATTTAAGCATACAAATGTAGTTATATTTTATTATGCATATAGACAGCGCAAAGTCATGTAATTTGAAACTAACCGTAACATATATGAGATTCAAAGAGATAGAAACGAAAGCGGATCAGTATCAAGAAGCTATTGCAGACACGCAATATAAACCTATTATAAACAACCGTCTAAGTTGTAGAGTTAGTTAAAGTATCTAATCTAATGTATCTAATCTAACACATTCAACTTAATAAGATTATTCAGACGACTCAAATATTCTTCAATGATAATAGTATAAAGCATTTCGATGAATGAATATATACATACAAACTGTATATAGATACACAGACATGTTAAAAATGTCACATTTTTGCTAGTTTCAGAATTTTTTGAACAAAAAAATTAAGGAATTTCAAAACTCTTTTTTATCAATATCAATTAAATCAGAATGCAAATGTGGCATGATACGCTATCATATTTCCAATCCAACAAAGCTGTATCATATACACTGGTATAAAACTCCTTTCATTACTCTTTCCTCTCGAACTCCTTTCGTAATTCGATATTTCACTTATAATGCGTCGCATAAATCGGGATATAAAGAAAGATATCTCTACGGCGACGTCGTTCACGTTTTATGAACCTCACCTGACCAGCAACGGCTTCCACCGTAGCAGAATGAGGTTTGCTGAGATCATCCATATTTTCGTAGCTATCCTTATAATCTTCTTCGATGTTACCCTGGTACCCCAGTCCCACGTCCTCGTCGAGGGCGCTTTCGAAAGTGGAGAACACGTCAAAAGTTTTCACGCTGATCTGCCGGGCCCTCTTCTTCCTTCTTTCCTCTTCGCGCTGCTCCAGAAGCTCGTTGTCAATGGTGCTCGGTGACTCATCTATCGTCAAACTGCTAACCGAGACCTTCGAACGAGTATCCTCGTACGAAGAATCGAAGAAGCGTCGCTGAAAGATCGCGCGTTTCTCTTCTAACAAGGACAGCTTGCGGCGCACCTCGACGGGCGACGATTCCGACGTTCTACGCAGATACGAGGAATCCGGATCGGATCGCGCTCTCGTTTTGCTTGGCTTGTTCGCAGCATCCTCCACGAGTTTTGTCTCGCTACGTTCCGGCCAGCTCGACAACGCGTAAGGAAGAGTCGAACAGCATTGCACGTCGGGACGCGAGACTTTGTCTTGCCTCTCTTGATGCGGATGCTGCGCAGTGTCTGTGCAAGCGAGGAATTTCAGAGGAAATTTGCGATTGTTGTTGAGAAGATGATTACCGATTTTTCCTGCGATTTTAAATCAATTTCCAACCTGCTTTACTACTGTTGCAAATAATTGCAATATGCGTTCCAAATGATATAAAACGGGATCAAAGATAAAAGATAAGAGAACGACGCTCAAAGTATACAAAAAAATCTAGAGAAATATATCAGATATATATATATATATTTGATAAAAGCACAATGTTTTAAAGTAACAGAATAAAGAAGTTGATCATTAAATATTGCGGAATTTAACTTAAGTTTCAATTTGCAGATTTTATTCGTAATCACCGCGATATCCGTACAAGGCTCACCCTGTTGAACGAAGCTCTTGATGGTTACTGATGGCGGTGCATGTTGTACTATAGTGACAGTCTTCGACGGTTTCTCGAGCAATTTTTCTGGTTTCTTAAGCTCCCCCTTCGCTTTCTTTTCCTTCTCCGGGACGTTGTCGTCCCCCTGTCCCTGCTTCTTGATCGACTCGTTCGGGTGAACGGGCGATTCTTGCGGTGACTGACTCTGCGATCTACTACTGTCGCCACCCTCCGGGGTATGTCGCGTCTCTTGCTGTTCCGAAGACAAGCGAAATTTGTTCAGGCTCAATTTGCGCACCAGCGAGTGCGACTTCTTCTTTTTTTCTTCTTCTTCAAGATCGCGGATGCCGTCTTCGGTTCCTCGAGCTGCTGCGATATCTCTGAAGCGAAAGAGGATCGCGAATGAAGAAAAAAATAGTCCACCTTCTCGAAAATTATTATTTTCAGATATAAATCAAGAAAATCTGTGGAAACAATTTTTTTTAGATATCAAGGGAGATAAAAAAATTTTAAAAAAGTTTAAAAAATAATTTCGATTAACCTTTGGGTTCATTCCCTATTTCGAGCTTCCTGAAGGAAGCTTTCTCATCTTGCTCCGTGTCCGCCTCGCAAGATACGTCGGTCTCGCGTGATTTCTTCTTGATCTTGAATATACCACCCTCGCGGAAGCTGTTTCTCAACACCTCAAATTTGCCTTTCTTTCGGTCTTCCGCGTTAACATTGAAGAAGGAGCCGCCGCTGGCGCTGGTCAGGGTGTCAAGACTGGAGTTACTATCACGCGCGGTGACATATTCACCGGAAGTGCTACCGATAGGTTTGTGCTTCTCTTCGTCCGATGAGAAACGCGCGATTATTGTGTCGGGTGAACTGCCACCTTCGTTCGCACTCTCGTTGTGAGCCATAATCTGAGCGTCACCAGAGGGAAGAAAAGGAAAGGAGAGGGTGAAAGAAGATGATGAAAGAAAGGGACGACGACAGGTCAAAGGGCTGGCTCTTCGCTTCACTGCTTTCGTCTTTTTCCTTCTGTCTCACTTCACTTTGGCGACCACTGCTTGGCTTCCTTAGCGACTCGCGGAAACCTTAGAACAGCACACCGGTTTCGATCAGTCGCGAACGAATAATCCGCCTTGTTTTCCCCTCTCTCTGCGTAGAGATTCTTTCGTCTCGAACGAAACGAGGAGAAACGAAGAAGTCTGAGAGCCGATGGATAACCTTCGGACGAAATTTTTGATCTCTCGTAATTATCAATTTATTTGGAATTAATTTATCGGAATGTCAGCAGACGAAATGTGATAGGTTTCATTCGTATATAGATATAAAAATATTGCAGGAAAACAAACGCCTTTCAATTAGCTTGCTCTCCTCGCATTTGCAAGATATTGAATAGGCATTTCGAATAATTTAAAAGAATAAAACTTACAAGGAAAATTAAAGGATTTTAAGTAATTTCTAGAAAACTTTTTCATAATATACTATATGATATTATTTTCCACCACCACTGAACAAATATTCGTTCTTTCTTGCACTTCTTTTTTTAGCACTACATTAACACATGTGTAACATAAATCACTCTACGAAAAATTAATTAAACTATACTGACTTTCAGAAAGCATACTGATTAGATAGTATGATTTCTATAGCATAATGAATAAACAAAGAGAAAAATTTTATAGTATTAATAGAAAGCTAGAATTATATAAGTTACAGAAGAAACTGTAAGCCCAACGGTGTCCTGAATCGCACTAAATGTTGATATAAAAATATGAAAGGCCGAAAGAGGTGGAGCATGCAAGTATCCCCCACCAGATGAGTAGTGTGCGTACGAATGCATACCCGTGTCTCGCCTTCTTTTCAGTGTATGAAAAAATATGCATGTATGCGTACATATATATGCATACATACGTAGACCACTAGGTATCTACACGTACTTTGCACATATGTAATTTGTCTTTGTGTACATGAATGTCTCATACGATATCCGTTTCGGATGAACTTCGCTGTATGAGTTCGCAGCTCGCCGCAAGTTCCCTTTTAGGACTACATTACTACACGCCTCTATTACATAAAATCTGTTATACGATAGTGCAATGATAAGCATAAATGGTGAAAGTATAAGAACATTAATTAATTAATTAATGGGAATATATACTTGTGCGACGAAATAAGACTCGCAAATTTCATCATCAAATTTATCCCCCGGAAATAATTTTGTACGCACTCATCAAAAATTTCATTCAAATCTTGTAAATCGCGCGAATAAAACCGAGCAGTTCGATGGAGAAATCACCTTTTTTAATTCTGATTTTAACGCGCATCGGATGATTAATTATAAATAAGCATTCGATAGAATTTACGCGTCTTTCATAAACGCACTTGTTTAATTAACCCGCATTTTCTTGTGTCGTTATTTTAACACTTAATTGGCTAAATGCATAGAACGGATTAAATCGCTGAAGAAATAATGCGGTAATATGTCGCTAATACGAAGATTAGAGCGAATTTTTTCAGCTCGTAATCTTAATTGGCGATTACGCGTGCATCGTTAGTATATTATTAGTTCTTTTGCGTCATACAAAATATATTTGCATATTTCTCCATATTGTCATATTAATTTTTAAACAAGATAACAATTTTAAACTTAATAACAAATTATAAATTAATAAAAGCATAATAAATTTCGGTTCGTTGTTATTCCTATAAATATCAGAATATAAATTATATTTTTAGATATATATTATACTTAAGTAATAATATAATTGATAATTATTTCCACAACAGGATTATAATAAGATTTTTATTCATATCTTTTTATCTGCAATTAAATAATAGGGATATCGTTCGCAGTTAATGTGCGTGAAATGAGTCATACGTGCCTTCGCAGCACAATGACTTCAAACAATCGTACAGTGAAAATCATCAAGCGTGATTCCTAAATCGATGATCATCATCGATTGTAATCATCTAACTAAGTCATCATTTTATTTATGTTATTGTATTATGCATACACATACACACAAAATTTTTTTCTATAGAAAATGTATATATATTCTATATTCTATAGAAAGAAACATGTGGTTAAAAGAACAACTCTTTCTTGTACAGCATAATATATGCATCATGATTTTTAGGTCACCAAGTCCGAAAATGAAGCAGACTTAAGTCAAGAATTGAAAAACATAAATAAATTTTCAATAAAATTGTTTAAAAAAAGTAAAATTTTTCTCATGACATACATAATGGGGATATTAGGAAGAGACTTTTCCCTATCATGCGCTTCCCATGTGACGTAAATATTTTACGTCACGGGTAAGATCAACGTTCCGGTAGTTAGAGTTACGAATTATACATCTAATCTAATTGTAACGTCCTACCGTTGAGGAAGATCTCTTCGTTGTGATAATATAGCGTTCCAGCTAAGTAAGTCGCGGAGAAAGTATTCTCTCCTCCGATAATTACACCAACGTGCGCTAGAAAAATAATATCCGACGCGAGGGCAACGTTTTCGTGAGAAACCGTATTACGATACATATCGTGTCCGCAGTTCACACAAGCATCGACGAACGAAAGATTCTCGAGCATTTTATTTATTTATAAAACCCGAGTATTTTATTTAAATTTGAAGATCGCGATCACAAAATTTATACGCGTGCACCCACCTTTTTCGCGGCTTTGACTGCCTCCTGCTTGCAATTTTCGCTGAAGCTCATGTTAAGATCGATGTACAGATGATTGTTGTTCAGGAGCAGCGCGGGTGGTTCCATAGGTGGTGGATTGGCTTTTTTTTTGTGCCTCAAACGTCTCTCGGTCCTCTCTTGTCGTGTACGCAACACAAGCATCACATCATTTCTGTCCAGCATATCTAGTCCTCGAGACTGCACTCTCACTGATCGAGAATGTACAATCCAGGATATGTATATTCGACGATAATCTTCAGTTTGTAATGTCCGATTAGAGTTTTGTTACACTGCACTATCGGGTCTAACACTATACAGGAAAGTCTATGGTGTAACACGGTGTATTTGTCATGAGATCGAAATATATTTCAATCACATATCGGAAATCGTAGTGTTTAAATTTGTAATCGCGAGCTGCTTCGAGATGAGAGCAATCTCTCTGCTGTTTCCTCGTCTTTTGTTGTTCGATCAAAAGCCAGAAGGAGAATTTCTCGACAAGTTTCGCGATAATGCGACGATCGGGGAAGGATTCGTGAATCGGCCGTAAGGGAACGATAGTAACGAACAGTGTGTGCCGAATGAGAGCAAAGTCCCAGCATTTATTGGTTCGGATTAGCCCGGACGTTATCGTCTTCCATGTTATCGGCGCGCGCGAGGCGCCTGTAAAAAAATGCTAGGCGCCTCGCAGACATTTGTATATCGTATTCCGATGCTTATACGAAGTGAAGGAAGAAGAAGACAATGATACAATGATTACGAAGAGAGAAATCCGCGAGTTGAACCACACGACATTCGCGGACAGTCAAAGACCTCCGAAAGTTGTAAACGACGCAACTTTTCTATTTGTCTAGGAACGGCGGAGTTTTCTCCCCAGTTTCAATTCGTTTATCCTATGACATTTTCGTTCCAACATTAATATACAACGTAAATTTAGGACTGTTATTTAATTATTTTCGCAAAGAATTTATAATATAATCCTAAACTGTGAGAAGAAAGGAAACGCTGCATTTTTCTGGTGCACGCAATATCGATCGTGGCATCGGTCATTCAGGTAAATTGCGTGCTTAGAAAAAGAAACTTCGATGATGGACGATTCAATACGTAAAATTAAAGAGAAAAAAAATTATCGTCGCGTTATCACTTGTCGAGACTAGTTTATCGCCGATTACACACGGAGTTTCGCCATACTTTACCAAGAAACATCGAAATTGCGTCAATAGGATTATTTTCGCTGCAGCTTTCGTTTCGAGGCAAAAGAAGGGAAGCGCAAAGGGCGATCTCTCTTGTATAATGAGAATAACAACGTTACGAACGTAGTTCGTAACCTGTTTATATCTGACGAGAGAAACAAGCCTGGTTTCCGCGGTTTTACCACTGCCATTCTTTCGTTGTAAATCCTCGTAATCGAGTTACACCGATCTTGTGACACGATTACGTGCATACGCATCGACAGATACGTTGTACTTCGGTATAGCCATTTCGAGAGAGAAATACAATACATATCGATACGACAAAGTATATAAAGTGTTATTTTGTATGCCGCGAATTTTGCGAAATAATTTAATTAAATATATGTATATTAAATTGCAAAAAATATGCGTCGATTTACGACACATTTCAATGATCGCATTCATTTATGCACGACCAGAGATGAACCAAATCGATATCACTGCGATAAATAAATATGGAAGACATCGCGAGAATAAAGGAAAGGGAAACGATGTCAAGCGATATTTATACTTTCGGAATGAGATGTAAAATCGTACGTTACGTTACGTCAGCCGGAATTAGAAACATATAATCTCCTATCATCTATTTAGACACGTACAAATGAATGTAATGTGATAACTGGTTATAAGAATGAGATAAATGTTATACAATATTTCATGCGCGCTGACTGGCGTCACGAGGTCGATACGATTGTTTTGATTCAGAAATTCATTGTTATCTCTAATTATTTCTATACGTGATTTTATCCACGTAAGAAATAATTAAATGGATTAGCTATCATGTATCATGCGTAAATGTAGGTTTGATGAGACGAAAATAATATATCTTTTTTACGGCAATAATAATAAAAATATATGATTTAAATCTATGAATTTTGTTTAGAAGAGAAGTCTCGCATATACATGCATGAGAATTAAAATATTTAACTTAAAAATTAATTTAATTTAATCATATTCGAGATAAGTACGAATTACACATCGTTGGACGTGAACTTAAAATAGATTCGAAGAACTTAATCTAACGTGATTAAATTGTTGACTTGTGCTGACCACTGACATCTTTAATCTTTATTACCGGTCGATATACAGACGCGGCAATGATAATATCCGAAAAGACAGACTCTCTGCATACATATTAATGTGATGCAATTACGATATAATATATGTTATATCTATAATCATATTATCATGATAACTTTAATACAAATTAATATAAATGATACATTAATACTTTATACACTGAAAATAATTTATTGAATTCAAATAAGTATATATTTATATTATTTCCATACTGCCCAATGAATTATTTATTTGAAGCTAATAATATTGATTTAATATGAAAAATATTTATTTGATATAAGAAAATCTACTTCAAAACAAATAAAATATTTATCTATTTCAAATAAATAATTTATTTGGGAGTATTCAAATAAATATAAATTTAGTAATTTTTTTTCAATGTATTCATGGTAGCAAATACGTATAAAATCAAGTTTTTACATTTTTATTTCTAATTTTTATTTTTATTTTTATTTTTAATGCAATGCCGATAAATGTTCACATAATTATATCATTATATAGTATTCCTTCCTTTTTTATAATTATATCATGTTTTTTAAATATAAATATAAAAATAAATTATTATCAATATTGTATAGAAATCAGAATGTTGTTATTTATCAATATAGATGTTTCATATATTTTTATCTGTATAAATCTACTCTAATAAATAAATACTACATCATGTAATATCTGAATTTATCTTCGTATGACAGAACTTTTTTATCTCAACATGTTGTTAATTTCGAGAATTAACGTGACCTTTTTCCAACATTTAACTCGTAAATCGTTTCGTACGAATACGATACAGATAAAAATTGTCGCCACTTATCCCGTTCGACTAATTGTTCGATAAAATTTGTTTTGAAAATAAGAAATCAAAATTACGTATCAAAAACATGTATAATCCAAGGTGAAAAGTTGATGAAACTATGAGAAAAAATAAAGAGAGGAAAAAGTACAGTTATTTTGTGAAAAAAACACTAATTAAAAAAATTAATTTCTATGATAATTAATTATAATCGAATGTCTTGTAAACAATATTTCAAAGAGAAGATAATTTCTATTTCATAATTATAATTATCATAAAAAATATTCAATTCAATGTTACATTATTTAGATTCACAGCGACAATTGCTAAATACGCTTATGTGCCAGATTATCAATGGATTATAATAAATAATTTATTTTTAGAAACGGTACATGCACCGTGATGTAAGCTAAGCATGTAAGCTTAGCTTACGAGAAAAGCAAACGGTACAAAAGTAATTATTAATTGAGATTAACACAAATATTCTTAACTGAAAACGAGCAATGTTGCTACTTGATAAAAAATGTATTTAATTAGCTAAATGTTAAGCTATATATTTAAATAAAAATATTCATATAAAAAGTATAACGATTTTTTATCAAAGATATATGTATAATTTAGAGAGAAATGAAGAAATATTAAATAAAATAAGTAAGCAATTTATTATCAAAGCAAATTATTTGCCAAGTTACACGACGATGTAAAAATAATTATCAGGCGTCAAATATTAACTATCTTTTCATTCGTTTTATCATATTGTTTTTCAACAAATTTATTTTTAATGATGAAGTTGTTAATTATTCAATACATATATGT